ATACGTGGTAATGGCACTCCTCGCGCCACGTAACATTCGTAGAGAGTTTTTTTTTTTAAATCGAAGCAGCTCTTTCACTATCCTCTGTAACGCTGTCCCTCCGTAGTCTTTTCTCGCTTGTGTACGCCAACCAGAGCAATGATCCCGAAGGCCTGCGCTGCTTTTACTACCTGGTGCAGGACCTCAAATGTATCGTCTTGTTCTCGGCCCTCCGTACGTGCCGCGCAACGCAGGGTGACGCCGCTGTTGTGCGCTGAAGTCATTCTCCCTCGCCTGCCACGCGCTCGCCGCAGCGCCCGCAGCTGCCGCCTAGTCAGTTCGCCTGCAACACCTGCTACATCCGCCACTCACTACACCACCGACTCGTCGATTCACGTGCAATAAACCAGACGCGCTCCTAACGTACACGTTGAAACGTGCCTGTATGTATCACCTATACGAGACCTACGCCAGCCACCGCTTCAAACGAATCTTCCGGCGCACACAGCAGCTCCCGCGTTTAGCGCCGTTCAACCCATGACGCCAACCGTGCACAACGTTGCTGCTTCGCATTCCATCAGGACTGCCTTCTGGTAGATGGTCCAAGATTTTTTCGTTGTAATTTCTAGCACGTAAATGGCCGAGTCGCTGCTGGCCGCATAGAAGCCCTGGGTTGTACCAAAAATGTTAAGATGATTTTTAAAATTTTTTACATACATGTCGAATTTTTAGTCACGGGCAACGTTGATATGTTAGTCATGACCCTAGAGCTTCAAGTGAAACTAGTAGTTTAACGCTGGCACGTTAATAACGTAGCGCGGGGCGCGTGAGCTGCGCGTTCACTTAGTATTCGCCTTGTTGCTTGAATAAATTAAACGGCTCCCTTAACGTGCTAGGCCTGCTGATTGCGAGGCAGGAACTCATTACGAGAACCTACACAGAGGTTCCTCCGAATGGAGCCTTCGTCTGCACGCTTCAGTGTGCGCAGTGTTGAACTACATCTGTCATCGCGTAGGCGTTGTCCGATACTTAAACTTGACGCCATCCCAAGTGTTCTGTCATGCGGAGACGTGGAGGAACCCGAGATTGGGCATTAAACGCTTTCGTTGAATCTCCTTCATTTCTCGCCGTTGTAATCACCAACAAAACGTTTAAGTTCCCCATTGACACACAATAAGATACGCCCAATAATATCTCCCAAGAACTTCCAATGATTGGAATTCCCTGCCCACATCTGTAACAAGCATCACTGACTCCACTAATTTGAAGCATATCCTCGAAGTAATCATTACCTATTTATTGCCTCTTATATTTTACTTAACAATTACTTTCTATTGGTTGTTGCCTTCATGATTTACAAAAATAAAAATATTGTTGATTCTTTAGTTGTTATTACGTTTTATGATGTTGTATTCATTCTTGTGCCTCATTCAGTTGCTATATTTGTATGATTCGTGCTTTGTATTTCTTGTTTTTATATGTTGTGCATTGTCCGTACCCATTCCAAATCTACTCTGTACCCCGATGGTAAAATAAATATTAAATAAATAAATATACAAGTAACTAATTTTAAAATAACTAAATATTTTATTAAATAAACAAAGAACTGTAAGAAGAACTTTTTTGCATTTATGGAATAGTAATTTTTGTGCATATTTAAAAGGTAATAATATGCACTTTCGCCTTTCAATCGCCTTGATTTTGTAAAGAAACCTGGTAATATTTTTTACTTCTGAATAGCTCTCAGTTTTCGTTTATCAGAAGGAATGGAACTCTTAGGGATGCAGCACCTGACACAAAAAGTGGCAATATAAATGAAGGTCAAAAAATGCAAATTGGCGAATTTCTGTAACGTCGCATAATCGACTCCGAGTTAGAAGACGAGAGTGTGGCTTCTTTCTCATCTTCTTTACGCTTTTTAAAATCGACGTCACCTTCAACCGCGTATGACATGTAAGCAGTATGCGTTGAGCATGTGAGGATTTAGTACTACTTGGCCACACGCGTTTGTCTTTAGGCCGTGGGAAGTGAACAAGACAAAGCGAAATCATTAGAGACGAGGCAAAGCGGTAGGGCGAATACATGGCAAAGCAAGGCAGGAGAAGATTCATGACTGACGATTCTGCACGTAGACAAACCGACAGTTTGTACTTAAATTACGTCACGGCAATCACTTGATGGCGTTATGAGGTGCATCGAAGAGATGAAAAATGGCACACTCCTTTTTTGATGTTGTATATTTACAGATTTTCAGTGGCCCACCAAGATCGAAATTTAGCGCCTAACCAAGCTGCCTTTTCCTCGTGTCATAGGGTCTGTGACAGCATCTTTCAAATGAAAATCTTACGTTGCTATTTTCTCCAAAAGATGTATTCAAAACTTCATTACAAAATCATGTTTGCGCGAATCCATACCAAAGCCAGTGCTTGCGCACTAGTGATACAGTTGGCTCAACGGGCATACCAGAAAGCTGCTTGCGAAAGCACACTTCTGCGAACTGCAGATGAAGATCATAATAATAACCGCACTGTCGTCACATTTCACACTCAATTTACGCCAAAGACATGCCTCAGAACATTGACTCTAGTCCCTGCGTCTCTCGTGATCGATGTACAGTAAAAACGTAAAAACACCTTTCAAGGAAAGCTGCCCCCGAACACGTTTGTAGGGTTTCGATAGTCATTCGTAAAGGGCATTTTTACAATATATAGATTCAAGCGCTTTTGCTTTGTTGGCCTTGCAGATTTATTCTTTGTATTACCTGTTCGAAATTCTTGAATTTAGATATTTACACTTCTCAGCAAAAAGTGAGTTTCCGAAATTGTATAAAAAAATTAGGCACTGCTACTCACAATTTTTTTTTCTCATAATTTTACCTAGTATAAGAAAATGTGCTTGAGATTGCATTAGGGTCACAGCGTTGAAGGTAATGCTTGCTATAGTTGGTGAAACACGAGTACCTATATTATGTAGGTAGAATATATTACCAATCTTGATGTAAATTGTCTGCAAAATCATGAAAAAAAGACACTTCGCAAGTATACCACTGTAAATTAGGCAAAAGAGATGGTTGTGAACTAAAAGCAGTGTCTTATAGGCGATATGACTATTTCGGTCCTTCACGCTTGGTATTTCGTACTGTTTGCCTCACTGGAGCCGACGGCCGCGGTGGCACAGTGGTTACTGTACTCGGCTACAGAACGCTATTGCCGGGGATTTGAGATTAACCATGGCGATCGCATTGTAGGTTAAGACTGGCAATGCTATAGCATCCGTGCGCTTAGGTTTAGGTATACACGTTGAAGCACTCCGAGCGGTCGGAATTCGGGAATTTTGCATTACGGCATGTGACATTGGCCTGTGAAGCCTCAAAATTATTACCTAAAAGTAGTATTAGGAACTTACCGATAATATAGCCAGGAAAAGTACAGCGGCTGTTATGAAAGTAATTGCAAAGTAATCACCATGAAAGAAAATTGGGCTGAAAAGATGACTTGCCACGGACAGGATCTGAACCTGTGGCCTCCAAATAACGCGTCCAACGCTCTACCACTGAGCTATGGTGGCGATATATCATCATCATCATCATCATCATCATCATCATCATAATCATGACTACACCCACTGCAAGACAAAGCCTCTCCCATGTTCCGCCAGTCAACTCAGCCTGTGCTGGCTGCTGCCACTTTATACCTGCAACCTTCCTAATCTCATCTGCTCACCAAACTTTGTTTCCCCCTCACCTGCTTGCCTTCTCTAGGAATCCAGTGAGTTAACCTTAATGGCCAGCGGTATGCTGCCTACGCGCTACGTTCCCAGCCCATGCCCATTTCTTCTTCTTGATTTCCACTATGATTTCCCTGACCCCGGTTTGTTCCCTGACCCACTCTGCCCTCTTCTTGTCTCTTAAGGTTCTACCTATCTATTTCTTTTTCATCGCTTGCTGCGTTGTCCTCCATTTAAGCTGAACCATCTTGTAAGCGTCCAGATTTATGCTCCGAAGGTAAGTACCAGCAAGATGCAGCTGCTATATACTTTCCCCTTGATGTATGAATGGTAGACTACCATTTATGATTTGAGAATGATTGCTGATTGTGCTCCACCCCATTCTCATTCTTCAAACTTACTTTAATCTCATGGCTCTACTCCATGGTCACTACTTGTCCTTGGTAGACTTACTATTTTAAAGCTTCAAGTACACTGCTAGCTATCTGGAAGCGCTGTTGCCTTCCAAGGTTGCTGTACGTTACTTTCGTTTTCTGCAGACTAATTTTAAGTCAAACGTTTCTGCTCTCCTTGTCTAATTCAGGAATCATGAATTGCTATCCATCCCCTGAGTTACTCAGCAATGCAAGGCCATCGGCGAAGCGCAGGTTACTAAGGTACCGTTCATTACCTTTTATCCCCAATTTTTCCCATTCTAGGCCTCTTAAAACCTCCGGTAAGCTCGTGGTGAATAGCATTGGGGAGAGTGCATCCCCCGCCTTACAACCTTCTTTATTGGTATTCTACAGCTTTCTTATGCTGCACTGTAGTGGCAGTTAATCCTTTAGAGTTTTTACAGGATGTTTATATATGCTTCTTTGATACCCTGATTCCTCAGTGTCTGCATAACCCCTAATATCTCCACTGAATCAAATGCTTCTTGTAATCTGTGAAGGCTGTGTATGGTGGTTGGTTGTATTCTGAGCCTTTCTCTATCAAATAGTATGGGTGCGGTCGATTGTTGAGTAGCATGATCGAGGTCGTGCTTGTTTTTTTGGTTGATTCATAGGGTATATCTGTGAATTTAAATGTGGCAGCTTAAGTTAGCGCCACCTGTAGCCATGGTGGAGAGTGTTGAACAGTGATTTTGCCTGTTTTGGCGTCACGTAGTACGTGGTCGTATCGTGAGGCGACAGCTGACTCTTAATACCTCGCATACCTACTCAGGACAGCAAGCCTGTCAGAATGACACTTTCGTTTTGAAGAAGGGAAAGTGTTTCCAACCAAGAAAACGAGGCCTTCAAATTTACACTTACCTCAGTGTAGCCACTTTCTGCTTGAACGACAGCAACTTGAGAAATGCTCTTCTCCCACGGAGGGTTACGCAGCAGTATGCCTAAGACACATATGTTCGCCATGCAGGCACCCAGTATAAGGAACGTGCCGCGCAGTCCGTACTCTCCCAGCAGCCACTCGAGCAGCTTGGGCACCAAGAGGGACGCCATTGGTGTACCGGCCATGTTCAGGCCCAGAGCGATTCCGCGGCGCTTGTCAAAGTAAGCGCTAACGGCCACGATGCAGCAGCTGAAGACCATGCCGTGGCCTGCACCTTCGAACAGAACAAAAAGAAGCGCATGAAGAGAGAAAGAGAAGTCATTTGACCAGGGGTAAGCGATGACATCAGCATGTCACAGCAGAGAAAGAATGTTAATATTTCACATGAAGGTTACAAGCCTACCTGCATGAGAGGTGGTCAAGACACCATGTAATACACTTAGATAGTGGATGACAATTTGAATTACTAGACAACCGGCCCCGCTGGATTCGATTTGCTGGTCGACAGTGATGGAGTACTAAAGACGCTCATAAGCAATGCTGTTGCTAACTTACGATATATATGGCTTAGTACCTAGCCAACAGACGCCGTGCCCTAGAGCCTTAAGGTGCCACCAGAAAAGGTAATCCGTATGTACGAATTCGTGTGGTCACTAAAGCTGAAGTATAACAGCGTTTTCAGAAAGGTGCCTATTTTTTAGCATGTGCAAACGTTAGTGACTTGGAGCTGTATCGACTGCTATTCGGTAGAATAGTGGCAACACGCACACACACACAAACACACAAACAAACACGAACACACGCACAGGCATACGTGAAAGGATGGGTGACGTCAGCACAGCTAACATATACATTGGATAATTTACAAGAAAAAAAAAACGTTCTTAGGGACACATTATAGCTTCTAGCCGCTTGTACAGAAGCCCGATTCTGTAGCAACTACGTCTGACGTGCATTTTAGTGGTGAAGCACTCTATAGTATAGGTTTGTGCGTTGTTCGTTGTTCGGCACAGCGCATGCAATGTACCCGCTCCATGCCAACCGTATGTCCATCACGGCACAGCACCACTATGCGCCCACCGTCACTTTGTTCAAGTAGGAAAGCTTCAACTACGGCACTATGCCATTTGTCATTATGCTGCGAGGTACGCGCTAAACATCTGTCAGGCGTTGTTTGCACTTTGCTTGCTTGATTCTTTTACAAGAGCACTTTCTGTAGTGGCTGATGACGATGAAGCGCGTTCCAGACCAGTAACTATTGCTCTTATTCTATCTTTAGGAACGTTCTTTCCTCCTTTTCTCGGAATAATTTATTACTCTGGAGGCCTGAAAGTTAATATAAATGATTCTTGGCCAATCTCCCTGGGTGAGTATGAGCCACAGTTTAGTCATCAACATCATCACCATATATTTCTTTCTGCCATGGATGGAAAGGAACGTGAATGTGCTCTCGCCCGAGAAAGTGAACGGCGACACAGAAAATAAGCTACCCCAGCTAGCCCGGAAGTGAAAGCTCGGGAAGCGGCAAATAATCACTCTGCAACTTCCGCTCTGACCTTGAGGCGTCTAAGACACGGCAATGGCCAGTAGGCATCAATAGTAGACGTTCACAAAACCATGCGATGCCTTTGTAGAAACATACCTGACAAAGCAGCTATTGGCGTGCCCAGAGTGAAAGCCGATAAGAAAGTTTTCGTACAAGTGCGGCCTAGTAAAGAAACAAAATATTTGCGCGTGGTAGTGCTTAGAAGACTGACCTCTCTAGGAATAACTAAATATAAAGAAAACGTGCACAAACCCCGTATTTCCCAACTTCAGGCTAGATACCGTCGAAGAACCATTGACTCGGCGTTCAACAGACAATGAAGCAGTGATGATGACGGCAAAATGGAATGAAAAAGTCAACACATCTTACGAGTTATGACCAATAGTACAATGTATATACTGTACACACTCGTTGTCACTCCTTCACATGCTGGAGTGGGTGAGTGATTAACTGCCCAATGCTAATGCTTTGCCCACTCGTCATGGTTCACTTCGCGTAGATGAGTGCATTCTCCAAGCCGCGAAAAAGAACAAAGATCGCGAACATCCGTGAGCATACAAGCACTCCTCCAACTAAAATTTCTGCGCTCAACCAGCGCGTTCAGACGATTGGCACGACTTTGTGGAGCGCACAAGGAACGCCGTCAAGGCACCGTTCAGTGCAATGTGGTGAAAGGTAGGTAGACCAAGAATCAGCTTGTCTCCAACAATGATGTACGTAATGAACGAAGCAAGCATCCATAAACCATTTATGCTCTATTGCTTTTCCTAAACACAATGTATATTGCCACGTTCCTTTCCTCAAGTTTTGTTATCACCCCGTTACACTATGCTCAGCGCAAACCACGCCTTCTGTGTTAGAGAAGCTTCAAGGCTGTAGTAGATCGGTTTGTTTGATTACGCCCACTTCATGAACCTTTCAAATTATTCTGGATTCTACGTCACCGCTAGCGATAACGCTAGAATGTTCGATGACAAGTGTATAAAGGTCGTCACGCTTCGCCGCTTGTCAGTTGATCGTCGGCCGAAGCTCTGCCCGCCGCTATCAGTGCCAGTGTCTTGCTGTAATCTGGCTTTTCTTTTACGTGACCACAGGTTCGGCCAATAAATAAACGCTTTTCATTTGGACAAGTCGTCCCTACCTTTGTCAGCGTTATGACTTCATGACGATATCATATTTCTTGTAGTGGAATGTCTTCATATTTCGTTATGGGCATTTCAGAAACTTATGCTGAGAGCGATAATGACGCTGTGTGTGCTCTGTGACCCTGTGTGTGACGCCGTTTAGTAAAGGGATGTTTTTATTTTGATATTACTAAAAATTGCAGTGCTTCCTGTTCACAAACAAAAATGACGCCGTCTAGGCTCACAACTGTCCGTGCTTCTGATTCAGGAAATTGTTGCGCAACAGCGCTGATGCGAAAGGGCGCGCCATTGTCATAGCTCGGTAGCACTGATGAGCGGAACATGGGCACTCAGTAAAGGCCCAACCACATGCGCGCGACTTTCTGTCGTAGAGACCAATCTGTCGCCATTGCTTGTTGCGGCACGCGTTTCTGGAAAACTAGAAACAATCACTTATCGCCCGGAATGTAGCGTGACAGTATCCAGCAACATCACTGCAGTCCTGATTCTTGATTCGGCTGAAGTTAGCTCTCGATGTTTCTTATCAGCACGAACTTCAAAGAACGCAAGGTATCGACCAGCTTCTTTACATTCGCATCCTACGCAGAGAGTGAGACAGCGGCCATATTGTGTCGTAAATCTTGTTATTGATAGTTTGTTTCGATTTCGGTAGTAGCTAGCTGCAATATAAAATCGTAAAGCGATGTGCATCATAGCCATCGTAGTGTGCGCTTGGGGGCACCCTGTCACGTTTAAAGCAAAGATAACAAAAAAAGGGGTCGTGAAACGCTTTTGAGGCTGCGTTACGCCACACAAGACATTCATAAATTTTTGATGTTGTCATCGACCTACTTTTAAACTTCTTTTCGCAATTTACGGGCGTGCGTGCACTATAGTTTTCAATCCAGCAACCGTAGACAGTTATAGTTTACCGGGCTTAGCGGGATGGAAGTGCTCATGCGCAGTAATGCAGGTGACCCGCTCCACTCGCCATACGCATGCTATTTTTCAGGTTTATTGATGCCGTGTTAGCGTGATTTAGTAGTGTATACGTAAATAATGGCTGCGGTTTCGGACACCTGCTTCGAAGTGATTGTGGCGTAGTGTTCATACCTAGGTTGAAAGGTTTGCTCACAGCAAACGACTGCTTAAATTGGCTTCGCTTGCCTTAAGTTAGTTTTGATTACCGAGTATTTATTTATTTATTTATTTATACATACTGCTGCCCCCAATTTGGGGCTATGGAAGGAGTGAGCATTTACAATAACAAACAAACAGATCAACAGAGCAATAAAACAAAAGAACACTTAACGCAAATCAGCAAGGGCAAGTAAAAAATTTTCCAGCGGAAGGGAGCGAATATCACCGGACAGTTGATTCCAAATTTCGGCAGTGAAAGGAAAAAAAAAACTAAATTTGAATGTGTTAGTTCGACAATGGTAAGGCATGATATTAAAGTGGTGATTACTTCTAGTTGTGGACAGCGAGGCAAATGAGATGTAGGTATTGTGGGACATGCGATAGACCGAGTTAATAAAACAGTAAAGCAGTTTCATAGAGTCCTTTAGACGGCGCATGCGTAATGTGGTTAGTTCAAGAGAAGACAGGGCAAGGGAAGGTGAAAAGTAGCGATCATAGCGGTTACAAATAAATCTGATAGCTTTTTTTTGAATGGCCTCAATTCTATCGATTTCACCCTGCTTGTGTGGATTCCATACGGGGCATGCGTAGTCAAGTATAGGACGAATCAGTGTTTTATACATTAGTAATTTAGTGCTTTTGGGGGATTGGGACAGTGTTCGTCTTAAATAACCTAACTTTTTTAAAGATTTTGTGCAGATAAAGTTAATATGCTGAGACCAAGATAAATTGCTAGAAAGAACAACACCAAGATATTTGTATTCTGTTACTTTTTTTAAGGTGGATCCGTTAAACGAGTACGTGAAGCAGGAAGGGGACTTACTATTCGTGAAAGACATAAGCACAGATTTGTTAAAATTTATACTCATTTGCCAGGTTGCACAATATTCACAAAATTTAGTAAATCAGTCATTGAGACGATAATGGGCTTCAGGAGAGTTGATGGGTTCATACAAAACACAATCATCCGCGTACAGACGAATTTTACAGGTGACGTTATTAGGCAAATCGTTTATGTACAGTAGAAACAGTAACGGGCCAAGTACAGAACCTTGTGGAACGCCTGAATTAACACTAACAATGTCGGAGTCAGTTGAGTTATAACAAACGTATTGCGAGCGCTCAGAAAGAAAATTAGAAATCCAGGTAACTAATTGCGGGTTGTTTAATATGGCATTTAATTTGCATAGTAATTTAGAGTGAAGTACAGTGTCGAACGCTTTCGAAAAGTCGATGAATGGTGCGTCAACCTGATTACCAATGTCCATATTACTAGAAATGTCGTGCACGAATTCGGTTAGTTGCGTAACAGTACTATAACTTCGTCTGAATCCATGTTGGAAGCTAGACAACAAATTGTTAGATTCGAGAAATGCAATAATATGTTTGTATATAATATGCTCTAATAGCTTGCAGGAATGAGGGGTAAGAGAGATGGGCCTGTAATTGCTGAAAACTTGCTTGTCACCAGATTTATGTAAAGGTACTATTTTGCCCTTTTTCCAAGATCTGGGAACGGTTCCAGATTTTACGGATTTATTAAAAATTATTGTAAGGTATTCAGAGGTCCAAAGGGAGTAGTGAACGAGAAACATGTTGGGGATACCATCGGGTTCATTACACTTTTTAGTGTCCAAATTAAGTACGAGCTTTAATACGCCCTCTTCAGTGATCACTACATCAGTGATTGGAGACGTTGGATTCAAGGTGGAAAAAGAAGGAACAACCAGATTGTCGACTGTAAAGACAGACTGAAAGAACGAGTTAAAATTGTTCGAAATTTCCGCCGGATCATCAATGATTCTATCGTTTATTTTGAAAGAATTACAAGAAGCATCGCGAGGCAGGACCGAGCGCCAGAACTTGCGGGGATTGTCGGATAGTAAACTTTGAAGTTGAACACGAAAAAAGAAATCTTTAGCTATATTTTGCTGCTCTCAAAGTTCCCTCTTGGCCTCAGTAAACCTGATAATGCTTTCTGGATTGCTCGATGATTTGCAGCGCCGAAGTCTTCGGACTTTACGAGATAAGTGCAAAAGATCGCGGGTCATCCAGGGAACATCAGTGTTTTTCTTTTTAGTCTTAGTAGGGATAAACTCTGAAATGCATGATTTTACTAGATTTTCAAAAGTGGTAGTTAGTGTATCAATGTCTCCTGAAGCGCTGAGTAGCACAAAGTCATCGTACGCATCCGCCAAAGCGTCTAAAACAGAAAGGTCTACCGCACGTTCAAAGTCAGGAAACGAAGTGAAAATATATCGCGGTTTATTGATTACGCATGCGAGGGAAACGAGAACAGCCTGATGGTCAGACAGGCCATCAATTATTTCATAGTCAAAGCCTTTATCCGAAAGGTCGGAGCTTAAAAATACGAGATCGAGAACAGCATTCAACCTGGTGGCACCATGAACAACTTGAGTTAAGCCGAAAGATACTGTAAAGTCTATAAGTTCCTTGCAAATATTACTTTCGCGACCATCACACGTAAGGGAAGGCCAGTGGATACCTGGGGCGTTAAAATCACCCATGCAAATGAAGTTCGACGCACTAAAATTGCGCTCGTACATGAAGTTATTAAGAATCTGTAATGTTTCAATACTCGAGGCAGGAGGCCGATAGAAAACGCAAACGACAATTGCACATTTTTCGAGGCAAATCTTGCACCAGACTCGGCGTCGGCTGGGCCTGTAATCACAGCAAATTTTAAGTCCGAACGGATAAGAAGAGCAACACCACCCCCTTTCCCTACGAGTCTATCGGTGCGAACTGCTGTGTACCCTGGGGTAGTGAACTCGGAATCAAGGATACCGTCATGTAGCCACGTTTCAGTAATGCCGATGATGTGAGGCGAATACGCTGAGACAAAGAAGAGAAGGCTAGGCAATTTCTTTATTACACTCCTAGTGTTTAAGTTTACAAGGACGAAATTTTCATTCCTGCCGGGACGACGTCAACCGGAGACAACAGGCGCTGCTGCCGGGGAAGGTTCACCAGGAGAAGATCGTAGTTCCGAACCGGATGCAGCCGGGAAGGGCATCGCATCGGAATTATTTGGAAGACTAGGTGCTTTGACAAGGGAATTCAGTGTTTCATCCCAGTAGTACCGAGTTTGTTTATTAGAATGTAATCAAACCTCAAACTAGTAGAACACCCTATATCACGAAAAGGGGCCGCGGCGTCCCGCATTTTTTTACGCAGAGCGCGAACTCGCGGAGAGAAGTCTTCGTTAATATAAATTTTAGTTCCTTTAAGCTTTGCAACGTTCTTAAATATGGTCATTTTATCCCGTTAATCAAGAAGCTTAAGTATAACAGGACGGGAACGATCTAGTTGCTGTCTACCGAGTCTGTGACAACGTTCAATCTGAGGACATTCAATCTGCAGCTTTTCAGTAAAAAAACGCCTCAATCTTAGTTGCCAAACAACCACCGCCTTCGAAGGCTTCCTCTTCCAGTCCGTAAATTACAATATTGTTGCGCCGTGAACGATTCTCAAGGTCATCAATCTTGGAAGTGTCACGGATAAGTTAGCGTATTTTTTTATACAGCTTCCCAGTTCAAACGTCTCTAGGCCCAACTTGAGTGTCGATGTAAACAAATCAGCAACATAAATATTTTCGCGTTTTGTGTCGTGGTTCATATTCATTCACAATTATTGTTACAAAAAAGCTTGTTGCATGGCTTCACGCGGTGACACAGGCAAATATTCTCCTTTTCATGTCCTTTTCACTGTCTAACATATTCACCCTCCACGAGGTGGTGCCACCCTTTCAGCCAGGGCACGTATACCACGTAAACGCTATCCCGCTGAACTCCAAGGCGCTGTCCGCAACAAACATTTGCGATACAGTAACGCTATTTCTTTAGCTCCTGCTTTCACGCTAACGGTAAACTATACCGGTCTAATGAGAAAATGTTGCCGACTTGTCGCGATAGCGTGACGTAACATGTTTGTCGCCGTCGCTCGAGAATCGCGTGCATGCGCTTGGGCCTTTAAAATTTTGTTTTGCAATGTGCGGCTGATAGAATCAGTGCAGTGGGCTTAGCGATGACAGAGGACATAGGCCGTGCGGCTGAAGATACATGAATAGAGTGTTATCTTTGTGCTGCGCCTGCTTCTGCTCCTCCGTTTTGCGATTTAAACAACAGAACATTCATGACGTTTAGCTGTCACTTGCCAAACGCTTGAATGATTCCACAGCGTCGCGATTCGAAAGGTTGTTTCGAGCTCCTTGTGAGCACAGACGTTGCTCTTTTTCATTACAATGTATGGCAGCGCACACCAGATTATACAAAGAACACACACACAGAGGGACGACACAAGCGACAGTGTCGTCCCTATGTGTGCGTGTTCTTTGTGCAACCCTGCTGTGCGCGGCCATACGGTGCAATGTCTCACCTACATACCCGCCTAATGTTTGAAGCTCTTTGCCACAGTTCACGTCTTATATTGTCTTTCGGTGTATTGAAATCAGCGATTAAGTGCTGGGCGATTTCGACTAACAGTAACAGTGAACGGACTGCGAAGATCGACGTAGTTCAGGTTCGCTCTACTTGTTAGCGTGACCTACTCTAAAATGAGCGCATCGCATGGTGCCAAGCAGCAGTATTTAAGAACAGCATCTTTCTTATTGAGCTAGTCGCCAGTGCATGACCGAAGGACTTAGTTCCTTCACTTCATCTCTGCGATTGCTTTGAATATGTACGCACATGTAGAGAAGCTCATAAATTAAGAATTGGAGCGAAGACAACCACCCATTGGTAGCACGAAGCCACAAGGAAATCCGTACAGATTTTTCAGAAACGAAAGCCTCTTGCAAAAGAATTCTTCCCGGCCCAGTGTTCCAGCTCAGAAATAACGCCTCTCCGGGGTGGTCGCTCTGCGAATTGAGCTAACCATGCAGCTAGCAAATGACAACGCGAGGGCGAATTCATTGACAACTCGACGCACATGGACACAAGTATTGGGAATGAGGTCTGCGGTGAACCCGCAAGGTGGCGAAATAGTTAGGAAAGCTGTACAAAAGCGCTGTATTTTGCTATTTCACATCGTTTCGTGCTGTTTCATGACATTTGCATGATATTGCTGTTTCCCACTTCTAGTGGTATAAAATGCTGTATTTCGCATTTAGGTGGGTGGTTGCCTTCCTTTTTTTAACTCTTCCACCACTTTGAAGGTTTTTCGCAGAACTCATCTGCAGCGCGTAAGTTTGTCATTTGTTTATTCAAAAAAATGGATATTTCAGAAGTGTTTTGGTTCCGGCACGCAATGTGCACTTTTTATTGGCATCAAGCCATCGCTAATACGGTCATATTTCAACGCAACTGGATTAATTTGAACGACCCCTGTAGCATTCTTCGCGCAAAGTGCCGCACATGTGTGAAAAAAATGAACCTTGGGCTTTAAGAAAGATGGGATCGTCATAATGACGTTGTTTGTACGCAATATGAATGGGATTCAAGCCACGTTTCTGATTCTAATACGGGATTCTTGAGCTATGTTCTCGTTGCCAACGAAGACCCAAATGAACGAAATTTGTGGCTTTTGCGCTCCTCCAATGGGAAGTAATTACTTGATTGACATAGTGTACTGAATACTTGTTTACTGTTTTCGTGGTGCTTCAAATGATTGGGCATCAAGTTGGTTCGGGCTTTTTTCCCGTCCCGCAAAATCACAATGAGCCAGCATTTACTGTTCTGCCAATTTTAGCGCATTGCCATATATCGAAAGCTAATTGAAATCACATCACTTTCGTAAGCCAACAAACCCTCTTAAAATCTTTTTCACGTGGGTGCTAAAAAGTGAGACGTTTTAATAAAAAAAAAATGTGCACGTATTTGGTGCGGCAACAAACGGGTGACTTCTGCCGTGGTTCCGGATTGAATGCTGCTTGCCGCCCGCTTGTAGCAGCGAACAATAAGGAACGCGGGGGAAGAGAGCACAAATACGGTTATAGACAGAAGTGAACAGAGAACAGGAGGGTACATGTTCTTCTTGTACGACGTAGTTGCACTAGAAAGACAAGTACGCTTAGCACAAAGCGCTAGATGCTTTAGATACAAAGAGGCTTACCAGCCAGCACTCCAACAGTGAAGACGAGAAAAAGCGTGGAAGTCGCGAAGAGTGACACACCGAATCCGATTGCCATCATAGCTCCGCTTAAGATGAGTGTTGTGCGGACTCCAAAGCTTCCGATGAGAGCACCCGCAACGAGGCCTGACGAGAGAGAGTTACAATAAAAAGTTGAAAGGCCGACCCAAAACTTGCACGTTCTAACAATTTTGTTAGTTAGCATTGGTGAAGTGTCCAAATGGACACCAACACACAATGAGATGAAGATAATACTAAGACAACAGATATATACGAACGAAAACTTTAAGGACTAATGTGTCTCTAACTGGCCACACCGTAAACCCCAACGGCTGCCTTCGCGATTTGTCAGCGCATTGTTTTGATCAATTCTGAGTTTGAAAGTGCACAGAGAAAACGCGAGGTGAACGAAGCGTGGACAAGACACTCTGTTGCGTGACTTTTGTTTGTATTGAAGGAACTATTATGGGAAGATAGAAAAAAAGCTACTGAGCACATAATGATAAAGTATTACTCAAAAACTGCACTGCCATTAATTTCACGCAACAAAGTATTACTGGAATCAAGAATGAAAATTAAGAAAAACATTATTTCGACTCGTATGCATCTCAGAAGATGCAGTGGTGTCCTGTTTGGAACGTCGATGTATTTACTTCTGTAAGGGCTGGAGTGGGGTAATGTACGAAATTTCGGCAGATCTTACTCATTGCGGGATTCGGTTTCATGCGAATCAGTCGGCAAGCAAAAGCCTGTGCCACATGTCTTTTTTTTTTGCTTTGGGTTCAAGATTACAATGTAATGGCAAGGCCGCTACATGAAAAACAGTAGCGATCATGGTATACGTCAGTAGTACGTCTACAGAACAATAGTTAGTAATTAGCACATGGAGTTTTATTATGTTCAAGAGTAGCTAAAATGACTGAAAGGCAACATATTATTGAAATTGAAGTTTGCGGAAGAAGCATGATCTGTACACATCTTAGACATCACGAAATCATAACAGCAGATTTGCCACTGCCTTTGAAGCAAAAGTGTACAATCATTTCGTGTTGGTAGCTTTAGCGTAGGGGTATGAAACTTGGAAGGTAACATAAAAAAATCGATGACAAGCTCTGACGACTACCCTCGCGTAACAGAACAAAAATGTTTTGTATTCAATAGACGTAACATTCGCAGGTATCTGCACAACAGCATAGCTAAGAACAAACACAGCGGTGCCGATGTTCGGGAGGTCAGGAGGCAGTAAAACTGAGCCTAAGTGAACCATGTAATGCGTGCGACAGGGAACCAATGGTAATTTAGAGCAACGGCTTTGATTTCAAGGGTTGATGAGCACCGCCGCGAATGGCGGTGGGTTAGGGGGCTAATGAAATAAGGAGTTTGTTGAAAAGAAAGCACAAATAGATAAATGAAGACAATAGGACTTCGAGATTATATGAAGAGATTTTCCTTCTGCTCTAGGAATAATATAGATTCATGTTATTAGGCTCAGATTGCCAGAGATGTGCCGTGCCGTCATCAAGAGCCACCTTTTTTCTTCTCGTTGGTTGTAAGTGAAAAATTGTCATCTTTGCGTGACCAAAAATCAAGAAATATGCAGATAAAATGAAAAATTATGGGTCTGATTGGGTATCGAACCCAGGTCGTTTGCGTGGAAACTGGGAGTACTACCACAAAACCACGCCCTTTTTTGTTACTTTGGGTGAAACTTCACACATGGGATGACGAGGTAAATATATTACACTACACAAAAACATTACAAAACAATTGATACAACTGTCTAACACTGCTAAAACACATGAGGCCTATACCTTTGAGATGTTTTACAGAGAACGCTCAAAATAGAATTTTCGTTAGACCCTCATTGGATCAGGCACTTAGCAGCAAATAATGATATCGTATCAGCGTAGCATATCAACGTTTCTCGAGGTAGTAAGAACAAATGAATGTGTTCCTTTATGGTTAGAAAGCACAAGCCCCGACTACTCTAAAATAATTTTAAGGAGTGATGTGCTTTAGCACAGAGCCACGTCTCTGCTTGTGAATACAGTGAAAATAACTTCTTCTGCTTGGAAGTGGAGCGAAATCAACTTGTATTTTTTAGAAGCACACGCATTCTGGATATACGCTTCAAAATACAACATAAAATTTTGCTGCAATAATGCATGGTACAAGCGTGCATTGTCATCGGGCGTCAGATTATGGGATCATCATAATGTTTTTATATTTTAGAGCCAGTCACTCGTTAAAAAAAACGCACACGGTACTATTCTTTTATGACCACGTAGTGTGTGCGTAGCAAGTTCGAAAAAAAAATTCAACTACTAAGTGTTTGAAGTACGCACTAGGAACAGAATATGCTACAACCAGCCTCTTTCGGAAGAAAGACTCCTGCGCTGCCGACAGGACTTTATGTCGCAGAAGAAGGCTGTGAAGGCACTCATGCGCTTCCTGCGTTCAACCGGCCTGTCCAAACGACTGTGATCGGAACTCTCTGAATGTGTGCGCATGTGTTTTTTTTCTAATTTATTTTATATCGCTCTATAGCTATCCTCTTACCGACCCTTTTCCCCACCCCCGTACAGGGTAGCAAACCAGTCCGTCTAGGTTAACCTCCCTGTCTCTTCCTTTTAATTATTTCTCTCTCTCTCTCTCTCTCTCTCTTGCTATCACGTTCAACTCTCAAAGGCGAAGGTTAAGGGTCCCCCAATTACGATCGAGACCGTAACAAATTACCCTCAGCCGCATTCACAAGGACACTGACTGACATTAGTTCAGCCCAGCCGATGTTACTCACACTTGGTCTCACGGAAATAGCAGTCGGCTGGGTCCGCTCATACTGATTCTCCAGAAAGAAACAAAGACGTATCTACCTGTCGTGCAGCCTCTGAGAAACTCGGGCTTACATTCAAATTGAATGCATTTATTACATTAGTATATTTGTATAGCGCTAACACCTAGCTTTGTTTGGTGGCGAATGCACTCCAGCATTGCTCATGGTGCCGAAATGTAGCTGTCTGAGACTTTGCAACGCCGCAATGGCTCCGACACTAAGAAACGGTGCGCGCGTTGAAAACTGGATAGCGGTATATGAACACATCAAAAGGTTCAACACAAGTGTATTGATAATGCCGTAAGAAGTGTCAGAAGGCACTTCAGAAAGACACTGATGATATTACCAGCCATATTGTAGAATCCTCCGTACAAAGAAATGGGAACGGATGCATCGCCTCGGGTAGCGTCGAAGGTGTCCATCACGGAGTTGAAGAACAATCCGGGGCAACGGTAAAAAAAAGGCTGCTATAAAGTTAATCACAAAGCACGTGATTGCAATAACCCAGCTCAGTCTTCCATCAGGTCCCGATACTGACGTGTCGCTCAGCAAATGGTCGCCTTTCGGGCACCCTCCCATGCCGTTGGCCTTCCTGGCATAGCTATTTTCCTGTGGAAGTTTCACATTTAAATGTCAGAAAACGGATGTCATGTGGAATGGGGATATTTGATTGACGGATGCACACAAAAAAGGCAAGACACTTGGGTCAATCTCCATACCCACAATTTCGATAAATTAGTAACACTGTCACAAACTATTTCGCGTAAGCGAGAGGCCGGAAAAAAATACTACTCTGCCAGAACGAATGCGATTTTTTTAATCATCTGCCTGGGAGTAATATAAATTGAGGCAGTGTTATCAATCTGTCAGACTTGTCGGCATACAGACAGACAGATTGAAGTGACATTTTGCCTTTTCAAAGTCAATCCATTCGTACAAGTTAGACGGTTTAATGAGGGATATATACAAGCTAGCAATCAGACTCTCCAACACCACTAGCAACGACGCTTTACTGCAGGTAACTCTACATAGTACACCGTGTGAGCTAATTGAGGCATGGTGCATCGCGCTGCACGAACGCCATTCACAATTTAAACGTACAGGCAAATAATGGTTCGCTAGGTGCCGGGTATTACACCCGTGTTGCCAACAAATTTTGGCAAAATACCTTTACGCCAAGCTCAAAATTACCCTACTTTACCCCACACAACTTTTTTATTACCCTGCGTTTCACCATACACCTGAATGTAGCACTGTACAACAATGACAGATTACTGCTGATTTATACTCTATTGCGTACATACGTATAAGAATGCTGGAATGTGACGACGTCAGTGGTTAGAAATAATTTAGAAGGGCAGTAAAAAAGCATGAAAGACTAAAGATAGGAGAAAAAAACGTTCTGGTATTTGTATGGGAAGAGCGTTGATTCCAAGTTGAAAAGGAAGATGAGAGACTAATCAGCAAGTATACAGCTGGCAGTGTAAGCAACGTTGCAACAAGGGGAGTCAAGCTGGATAAAAAAGAGGGCGAGAAAACATCAATGAGAAAAATCCTACGAACTTATAAGGTCTGACTTACTTTACCTTGTGCCGGAAGCAATCGAAATAAGATCCTTCTAGTTAGGGTCTTTGAAGGAGTGTAAAGCTCAGATATGTCGTGAGTATCTTTTAAATGTTTGGTGATAAACGATGAGCACAATGCTCAACTTACCCCACTACACCGCCACACTGCCCTACGCTGGTCGGAATATTCCGAAAATACTCTACAAGTACGGTAATTAACTTATGGTTAGGTTACCCTCTATCACACCCAACACAGCGTCAAACTAGGTATGCCAAGACACATCACTTGCGTGACAACGGTCCATTCTATACCCAACAACATGCCTCCCACATGCATTAGAAAGGACGAGAGAGCAGAGCACGCGATACACAAACGAAATTTGGTAACAGCAGGCATGGACACTGTACTCGTGGATGCAGCTAGATACAGACACAAGCGTCCCTACACCGCCATGGCGATGACCTAATAGGAAAGCTGTTTGAAGAGCGCTATCATGGGTATGCCTCACGTTGAAACCGTTGAGAGAATAGCTATAGCATTAGCCATAGCAGAAACACAAACGCACGTATTATTCGCACAGACAGTGATACGAAACTTCGCAAACGGTAGAATCTTCCCAAAGAGAATATCCATGCTGAAACCTGGTATCTATCTATCTATCTATCTATCTATCTATCTATCTATCTATCTATCTATCTATCTATCTATCTATCTATCTATCTATCTATCTATCTATCTATCTATCTATCTATCTATCTATCTATCTATCTATCTATCTATCTATCTATCTATCTATCTATCTATCTATCTATCTATCTATCTATCTATCTATCTATCTATCTATCTATCTATCTATCTATCTATCTATCTATCTATCTCTCTATCTATCTATCTATCTATCTATCTATCTATCTATCTATCTAGCGACATGAATATTGTCACGATCCTGCCACGTACGTCATCACTTTCCGCCAGACAGTGGCACATACCCGTGGGAGGGTAAGTGCCAAGGGTATGCGGACACTTGTGGCACAGGTGAGTGACAGTTTATACTGAAACATTAACAGTGACTACAGTCTTCGGTAACTTTAACGCGTGAGCATTAAGAAAAAGCTGTCACCGGCGGCATTGACCCAACGAGCAAAAATAAAAAAAGTATCAGGGTCCCAGCAGGAATCGAACCCCAGTGTTCTGCATGACAACCAGGTATTCTACCACAGAACCACGCCAGATCTAGCAACTGCTTTTCAATTAGACGTAATGATCCTAGCCCTATGTAACAGCCGTCTCGTAAGGCTGGGATAAACAGTAGTTAAGTGCTATGCACTTAAGGTGATTGACACTATATATCAACTAAAAGACGGCGCGAACAAACACTGGTAATTTTATTTCGAGAGCGTTGAGAAAAATCAAGCATTTGCATGAAGTGCGTGACGGCGAGTGAGCGAACCTATATGTTCTAAGGTCCATAATGTTTGCGTCGAAGTTGCTCACCATTATAAACGGACAGATGGACGACCGGGCGTGCGGATAGATGCCTCGAGGGACAGGTGGATGTATGCATGGATACACGGACGGTAGGGCGCCCTCACACACAAACAGACCGACACAAGAATGGATGGATGAATCGATGGATGGACAGACGCACGTACGGATGGTCATATTTGTGGATGAACAAAGAAAAGAAAGGTGCAAGGAATCATGTATTGTGCTGTCGTATAGTTGAATATTGTACACATATAGTCGGTTATTTAATCATATGTCCTCGTTTTCAGTTTTGCGTGTGTTCACTTTCAGTTTGGGAGTGGGGGCGTGATGGTCGCCAACTGTGTCGGGCATAAAGTGCTCAACCCTAAAAGCTGGCATCGGCAGCGTTGACGAAACGAACGCATAAATTCAATATGATCATTTAAGTAAAAATCTAACCCCCCCCCCCCTCTTTCTGCGGGAGAGTGAAGTATTCTACCACAGAGCCACGCCAGGTATCGAACCTGGTCTGGAAGTACATCGTAATATTTATAAAACGTCAATTGTCATTGCACTGCCAGCTATTTAACCTTATAAAAGTACGTGTGTTCTCCTATATGATACAGCCGACACATCTGGTCAACAAGAATCGTAGTGAAGCAGCATTCATTGAAGCTCTTTTATCTAGCACTGTTTAAGACTGCCAGCCTCGCTGGTACAAGCGCTACATATAAGCTTACCGCAGCTGGTTTTGTTATACCCATATTACTGTTGGCATCGTTACGCAACAATAGACGTGCGTTTATTTTCCTCATTTCGTAATGTGTCCTTCGAGCAAAAATTACAACACAGTCATATTACAACACAGCCATAGATCTCACCTACCCTGGCAGTCAACACTGCCAATGTAGGTGAGATCTGCCAAATTTTCTTTCACCCTAATTCCTAGAAAGTCAGAATTATAAGGGAGGCAGTTGTGTGAAGGGCGTCATCGCAATATCGTCATTTTTGTTTTCGAAAACTGTAAAGCGTATGATCTGTTTGCATATAATATTATCCAAGGCTTTACGTCCCAAAATATTCATATGCTTATGAAAGACGCCATAGTGAAGGGCCCTGGAAATTTCGGCCATCTGGTGTTCATGAAAGTGCTCTAGGAATGCAAGGGTCGAATGGGGTGAAACTTTGCCTAGTTCTTCTTTCTATATGTCAAGTGGTTGCAGCTGAATCTAAATGCACAGCTAACCAACGAAAGAGACGCCTCTAACGGGGAAACCTTGGCACGTCTGTGAATGGAGCTTTGCGAGACATAGTGATTGCTGCTCCACTGGCACTCTCCTTAACGACCACGTGTCCAGCCCTAATTCCCAGCATACGAGTGCGCCTTGCTCATACGACACGGTTGTCTGCTTCAAAGGCACTTTAGTATCCCTACGCTGTCGTTCAACAATGTCATTAACTGCTAATATTTCCTGCATGCAGATCATTGCTTTCGCTTGTGCAGCATTCTTTGTGTTTGAATGTGGAGTTCTAGACTTGCGGCGCGCCTGTTCGGCTTTTAGCCTCTACAAAGCATGATCAATTTAGTTGTTTGGCAGCGAGACAATGAAGGCATCTGCGAGGGAAACTCGACTGGTTTCAGCTAGCCTTAGATCTTGTCCCTCATTTGAGTAGGTGATTCTGCGTGTCAGGGTCCCCTAAAACAAAGAATGTGCCATGCACTGTATTTTTACCCGGTGCTGAAAGGCATTGAGCATCACTATTTTTCGTTATGTGTAGGCTCGAATGCGGACGCCCTCTTTGTTAGATGTTCGTATTGTTTGTTCACGGCCTGCATTCGCATCATGGAATGTTGCTAAGAATCTAGCCAAGACCTATTTTTGTGTCAGTGTCCTGCAAAGAAACTCTAGCACGCGTGTATTTATTATAAGAAAGTTAAATGTAATATCTCTGATTACGAAAAAATAAGTGAACAAAGATTCGATAGTAAACTGCAAGCCCAGTGACGCCGGTAGAATTCCGCAAATAACACTTTCGTTGACATGAAATTCTTGTTAGTGACGAAATATTATTCTTAGCTTGTTAATCTGACGCAACTCCTACGATTTGTCATGCGCAGAGAGTGTGCGTTGTAAGCTTTGATCCTAGCGTTATCTCGTATTTGTTGCTACCAAGTGTTTTAAGTCGTCTGCTGAGGAGCGCTGATAGCTACCCGCGCGGCGAAAACATATATAACTGCAGAAGGAGGGGAATGAAGTGATCAATTGATTTATTTCACTGCGCCTTTTGAAAGAAAAAAAAAGAAACCTTATGAAATCGTATGAAGATTGTGGCGATTGAAGGTCTGCAATCTCCATAAAGCAGGTAAGCGCGTCGACAGCGTGACATGGCGTAAGTTTTGGAAAATGACGCAATTTGCCGAGACCCAGCTGTCATGTATAACGTCTGTGAATACGTTCGAGAAAAATGAAAGCGCGAGAGTGGCATTGTTGAAGCTGCATCTTTTCAGTCGAGACGAAAGTTGGCTGCAGAACTTCGTCCTCTCCTGTATCTTCGTTTCATCGCCATTCCAGACCTTCGAACGAGGCGTCGTGTCGGACGAGAAGCCTTCAGCACAGGAAGTGCATCGTTGCCTGCGATCTGAAAAACTCGCTTCACGTGAACACTTCGCTTGAAAAATTGTAAATGAAACGAATTCTCGATTCGAAGACACGAAACTTTTGAGATGCTTGGTTTGGCATATTCAATGAAGCCATGACGCTCAAAACACTGGGACCAAGGAACAGGATTCTCCAACTTTGTCAAAAATAAGATGTAGCAGGACAAATTTGTTAAAGTGATTCATGACCCTTTCGAAAGCTAGCTGGGAGAACACAGAGCGTGAAACTAGGAAGTTCCGCATCTGGAACTCATATGTGGGGTGTCCCACATAACTTGAGCCAAGAATTTAAAAAATGAAAGACACTTAAATGGCGAATTGAACCAAACGCGTACTACTCGCACTAGGCTGTAGGTACTCGGGCTAGTTTTTATTTCTCCCCATACTAACTAATTAATATCTTTAAAACCTATTTTCAATTTATAGGCTGGAAACCAAAAGTATGAACACTGAGATGTAGAGCACTTTCAGAAACTACCGACAAAATTGTTTCCTTTAGAATACGTGTAGCGCTGTTATTTTTTCCGTGTTGTAAAGAATGTCTATAGCAGCACTATAGCAGTGCGCTCGCGGTCTATAACAGGGCTTTTTTTTTCGCGTTTCGTGGGCTTTCTTTACAACTGATCTTGGAGGCAACGCATTGCCTCCAAGGTCGAAGTAATTGGAAGCTTAACGAACTGACTCCGGTATCGCCCCACGATTGACTGAACGATGGTGTCACTCGATGGCACCATCGGGAGACGTCACGTGGCAATTTGTGACGTCAAGAATATGGCTTGTTGTGACGCCATAATGTGATGATAATATTTTGCGCCACTTGTGTAGACGCCACCGTTGGTCAATTGTCGCGGCTGATGAGGGGTCCAACGCCTTTGCATTAATAAATGCGTTCCCATTGTATTGAACTCTAGTATAGGTGGTCGAAATTTCCGGAGCCCTCCACTACGGCGTCTCTCATAATCATATAGTGGTTTTGGGACGTTAAACCCCAAATATCAATCAACTCTAGTATAATCAAGATCATCCTATGAAGAGCTTTTTCTGACGACGTTCATTTATAATTATTTTATGTTAGCGTAGCTTACGCTATGCCTGTAAATTTCGCAAAGTTGTCGCCTCAAATACCTGTTTCAAACGTCTATGTTGATTTCATCTTCAGCTGAAGTTTTCTTCTTGTAGCACATTTTGTTCTTAGACAAAAATTGGGTGGTGTATGAATTTTGGTTTGCAAGCGTTATATATTCGTCATGTTACTTCGCAGCAAGGCTAATTCTAATCGTCGAACGAGCTCCGCTCGAGCACTTACCTCACAGCTGCCTCTGGTGCTCATGGCTCCGCCGTGCGTCAAGGTATCCCAGCTTTTGAAAACGAAGGTTCGTACATCTCTCTCGCTCACGAAGCGCTTCGCAGCTTTCTCCTGCACGTGTACTCAACCAGTTATAGCCACCTTTTCTTGTCAAATTAGCGCGCTACGTCGATAGAAGTTGTATCCACAATACGATGACGTCTTTGATTACGCGTACCGATGTGGTCTCGGAGAGGCATATATGTTACTCTAAGGCACGCGGGAATGTTGAGTGACTTGTGACAAGACGGCTAACGATGGGTGTCGAAATATAACATTAGTATTTTTATACTAGCCATAACCACTGTTAAATTTGCACGCACACAAGGCTAAACACATAACTAATCCGCTATTTCAGTGTATAATTATCTGAGTGCCTAACACGTACTTGTTTTTTAAAAGTTTCTTCATGTCTTAACATACATGACTGTTGCGGTGCAGGAGACTAAGAACGAGGTTATGAATCACCTGACTAGGGCTGCAGCACGACACTGTACGTTCGTCACACTACAGAACTGCAGTGAAAAAGAAAAGTGCAAGAGTACAATGAACGTATATCTTAGCATTCCTCGAGGGGGTCGGTGAGTGCTGAGTAAGCTGCGTTGCAGAATGGCGAAAAAAAATTCTTCAACGCATGTGCAGTACCAGAAGGGATCGGAGAATTGATGTTATATTAGCTGCTGGCTGACGTTTAATAACGCTCAACTGAGGTTGTGGTAGTCACTCAACTTATCGACAAGAAATCATACGGCAATCATTGCATGCAGGTGTTACGTGACTTTATGTTGCAGAGTGACAGCATATGTGCTGCTATGTGCAGAGTGACAGCTATTACGTAGCATATGTGCCGAATAGGATGTGGTAGAAGAAGCGAGTGGAGTGAAAGAAACTGTTACATCGGAAGAATTAGCTCAGGTTGTTCGAAGTTTGCCCTCATCAGCTCTCAGTCGAGACGTAAATACAGCTACCATGACGGAAATTATATTTCAAAAAACACCAGGTTGTTTTTGAAAGATAGAAACTTATTTGTTAAGCTACGCATGGAATCCATACAATCGGAAATTAGCAACGATATTCCAGATACAGAAAAAATAACGTGTAGGCTATAACATAAATAAAATATAAGACCTGTTTCTGTTACTTATAATATGTTAAAGTTCGTTGAGAGGGTGCTCCTTAAAAAATCACAAGCTGGATGGCAGAAGAAAATTAAGTCATAATCAAATTAACTTCAAAGAACACAGTCCGATATGGTGTGCTCACACTGATTTGGAAAGACACATCCAACTTCCTCGCGAAAGAAGGCAACATGTTGCTCTAGTGGCTTTAGCCATAGCCAAAGCATTTGACAGGGTGAAATGCTCGGTGCTGTTGGTGATCTGTCTAAGCCGCAATTTCCTACAGTACATTTTCACGTGACTGAGGAAATGTTCGAAAATAAGAGAGTATTATTTGAGAAGCACGGACTGCTGGGCCAGTTGGTAATTCATCATAACTCATTATTAATTCATCTTAATTGGTGGGCTGTGTCCAGATGTCTTCCTTTTGTAGTTCAATTTTTTTCGCGCAACTCGGTTAAGAGTTTTGTTGGTTTAGGGATGGCTGCGTTTCGCCAAATTTCAAACAAAATTGCGGAGTTCCCCCAGAGGCCGTCTTGACTCAAATATTGATCAACACTCTAACGAGTTCAATCCCCCACTGCCAGCATGAGCAAGTATACCTGTATGCTGAAAACATTGCCTTGTTCGCAGCAGACACTGACATTTTTTATATAAAAAACTGCAGAAGGACTAGAATTTGCTAGAGGTGTGGTTAGAGACAATATGCATGTCGCTAAATGTAAATAAAAGCGCAATGTTTGTATTTCCGCTAAACGATTCTATCTCAATTAAAATTTGTTATAAACGAAAGACCATATTATAGTTAAAATCTCTAGCATCCAAGTTCAACAGTTTAAAAAAAGGGAGAATGATTTATAGTGACAATTTATTTGTACTCCTCACATACAGAGTATGGCATGTAAGGCACAACATGCCTTAGATTTGATACGTCATTGACCAGCAGACGCTATAGATATGATCAATGTAACAACACCATCGTGATTATCCACAAAATGCACATGCGTCGAATACTAGAATTAGGGTGTGTATTCTTCTCAGATGACCCTGCTTACAACCTTAAGCATTTGATTATGCTTGATTGTGAAGCCCTGCGACCGTGTATAGGGCTTCCTAAGTTTGTTGCCAATAATTTTCTGTATCAGGAAGCGTGCTTACCAACATTGCGTTGCCGATTCCGTATCCTGAGGGTTCAGACATATCTAAAATTTTTATAGCTATTCGTTAAGATGATCAGAATATGTACTCATCAACGGCCCAGACATACATTCTCTTGCTCATTTGCCATGGTTTCGCACACCACAGATTAATATTTTTGTTGAGAAGCAACTAAATAGGATAAACATGCAAATTTGAGATGTATCAGCAGCAAATATGCCAAATCAAAATCTTATCAGCGAATATGAGATTTCCCTATATAAGCCTAAATTGTATTCATACAGAGTTCTAAATAGTGGCCACTTGCATGATTATCTTGCACACGTGGAAACAAATATAGCAAAGTCACTGGTGCTTCAGTAATAGACTAAAAGGCAGAGATGGTCCTTCACTTGGGTGGTCATTTTCACTAACGCTACTCACTTCACACCTATTGTTTAAGCTTAACTATTGGCAAACATTGTAGCACTACGTAAAATAACTTTGAACACCAATACTGCTATAATAATTATAGGCTCCTTGTGCTTATGTGCATCGTTTACAGCTTCATCTAAATCAGATGCCTGATTTAGACGCTATAGTTGCTCCACGGCTGAAGCTCTTAATGTTATTATGGGTACCCGGCTGTTGTGGATTGGAAAAACGAAATGGCGGACTCATTAGCTCGCGTGGCATGGAATGGACCAATACTTTCTGTCCTTCCGGTTGTGTCCATTGTAACGATGACAAGATGTACACAATTTTTATTCAGTTCTGATGCCAGAGGCCCAATATTATCATGAACAGAATATACACTGTTAAAATTTGAATAGAAAACTGCGGGGTGTCACACTAGACAACTGAAAGTCATGCTAAATGGGTTCCAATGTCGTGTGCCTCCATTATATATACATTCACACAGGACTGGACTGATTATATCTCCCCTGTGTAGCTTTTCTTCACAAAGGTAATCAATAGAAAAATATTTTTTCTCATGTCACCATTAGAGATTGCTAAAAAATCACAGCAAATTCATGAAACGAATGATAATGAGTGGGGCGAAGCGTTTATTTGTCCGTCCAGGCTTCCGTGCGTCTGTGTATCCGCCCGTCTGTTCGTGCATCCGTCATTTCATCCGTCCATGCGTCCGTCCATGCGTTCTTTCGTGCATCCGTTCGGCCATCCATGCGTCCTTTCATTTGTTCATTCATGCATCTTTCCGTCCTTGCGTCCGTTCGTTCACACGTCCGCCCCTGCGTTCGTTCGTGCGTCTGTCCTTCCGCCTCTGCGTTCATCCATCCTCCCGTGCGCTCGTCCGTCTGTGCGTCAGTCCGTGCATCTGTCTTTCTGTCCGTCCACCCGCCCGTCTGCTTGTCTGTGTCCGCCTGTGCGTTCGTCCGTCCGTCCATCTAGTGAACACTCCAAGTACAGCCATCTCGCATCTTTTAATCATGTATTCATCATATAGAAGTAACGCCATCTGGCGGTAAATACAAGTACTGAACGAGAGGTGGCGACCTACTACTACTTCGACGACGACACCTACTACATACATCGCGGACGCCCGACCCACGGCATAAAGAGCTTTGGATCGATGAATGCGTAGATGGATATATCCGGCTGTGCCCTTTAAATCAGGTGGCGGCTCACGTCACCTAGCCGTAAGGTTAAGTACTATCACTACGAGTTGAAGAATTGAATCTCACTCGCGCCTTGATTGTAGCCAGCGATCAGCTAGCCTCGTCCTGGTTATTTCTACCTATTTAAAATCTATTTTGACCTCACTGTCTCTAAATCCCGATGGTTTGAGAAATTCTGCGCCATTATCTTGAGCTATAGGGGGCAGAACGTCAAAGAACATTATCAAATGTTCAGCCGTTTACTCCTCCTCTCCCCATGCACTACCTAACGTGTCTGCGCCTTCGTATTTGGCTCAGTACTTCCTGGCACGTGATACTCCCGTTCTTGCCTCGAACCGCAGAGAACTACCCCTAAAATTATCGTATGTCTTTTCTTTTGCAATTTCCTGCTTGAAAGTTGGGTGGGTCTCCAGTGATGATTTCGTAAGCATTTCCCGCTTCCACATGTCGCTCTCTCTTTCCTTCACCTTCTTCTTAACCGAAGTTTTCTTTTGGCTTGGTATTCTGCTGTTGTCTAAATACTTGCTTGATAATTTTTGAGTTTGTTTCCTTCATTTAGTATAAACAATGTTCATGTTCGCCCGTAAAATGAAAGCGCCCCCTAGCGTATGTACAGCATTTTCTTTTGCTTGTTCATTATGAAACTACACAGACGCCATGTGTTCTATGACATCTGCATTGATGCATTCCACGAACAACTGTCACCTAGCAGTGAATTCTCAAACGAGTTGGTACGTACTACGCACATCGGGGACGACTGACCCACGCCTTAAAGAGCTTCGCCCCTAAAACGGCTCCTTGTCATCCCATTCACTAACATATTCCACCATTCACAGTCTACTTACCTATGGTGCTTCGGCTTTGGACTACAGCGACAGGAGTTCATTTGATGCCATTTGCAATTATCTTCATGAATGAAGACTAATGTGCCTCGAAATTCTTACTTCTATATGTGTTATTATGGGAGAAATGAAGAAATTGAAGACAAATTTTTAGCGTTTTCGAAATTATCGTAATAATGTTACGACGTGAAAAGGACAGGATAAAGCACGACGATGCGACCAGGGAAAACAAGGTCTGTATTAACAGAATGAAAAAAAAAGAGCAGCCGCTTCGACGTTATCTCGCTTGGAGGAACCGTGGTTAATGTCCATGCTCATCACTTCATCGTCCTCTGTCTTTCTGCCCAGCCTTTAGTCATGACACTAGCCTCCCAATCAAGAAAGTATCGTCCCGATGCTTTATAATCAAAGTGGTTTGTACTCGTAGGAAACGCATGAATTCATTCGAGAAATAAGGCTTCATCCGAACCACGTGCAGAACGTCTGGAGCATATCTTTGACGCTCTAAGGAGTGCTAAGTATCAGGAACAACCTCATAAAACTGTCACTGAGACGTCGTAGAACGTTTGAGAGCCTAAAGTACCGTCTTAACA